GCTGTTCCTGCCTTGGCTTGATATCCTGTCCACAACCTGTTCCCAGCTGTTTCCCAGCACAGCACCCTGAACAGCATAGATGCGTTTAACTGAACAGCAGTGGCTCTGTGAACTTAACAAAGAACATTGAGCAGTCAGGATCGTTGCATTGCTGCATTGGCGCTCCTTTTTGTTAATGCTTGTGATCCCATCGTAATCTTACGGAGGACTTTCCTGTGTCTTTGGCTCTCCGAATAACCTTGTGAAGGCGATAGAGCAGGTATGATGACCTGAACTCTTAGGTGAGAGACAGAGGTTCAAAGAAGGGGAGTGCAAAGCAGAAACTACGCTTCTATTCTTTTCCCTTATTACAGATGCGAAACCTAGCCCCAACTGAGCACCGTTCTTAGAGACAACCAGATTCACAATTATTTTTTGTATGTTTTTTCAGAGTGACTCCTTGACCAAATAACTTTGAATCGATTGTAACTCTTCACCCTTGCAACTAAGTCCGTTAATCACAAAATGGTAAATCAGAAGGTAGGCACTCTTAGCGGCAAATTATGATTCATCCGTGCTCCTGTGACGGGTAACGTTATTTTATAACTGAGCTAAACTAAAGAAGTTAAGCTTTATTTAGTCAATCACTTTAATGAACATGAAAATGGGAACTCTGGAAGTTCTATGTCTTGAATTGAATCTTTTACTTCTGAAGATTTCAGGCAATAGCAACTGTCTCGATAGCAAATGTTTGTAAAGATGATTCACTTTTCAATTCTATCTCAAGGATCTTTCTGTGTTTTAATTGCTGTTTTCCATGCCTTTACTTTTGTTACACCTCAATTGTAATGAGACAATTTTGAAAGGCTGCAGAGAAAAGAGGCAACTCGGTCATCCTCTCGACTTCACATCAGAAGCTGTTGCCCCTTTCCCCCTACAGCCGAAAACCCTATTTAACACCCTTTCTCTCTTGCATAGCCACAAAGAAGAACATCGTCCAGGAAACTGGGGGATGCTAAGACGTGAAGGACGGATATGGCTGTTTCTGCTCCTAGCCTCAAAAAGAAAAGGTTGTAGCTCATCTTTGCCAGCTTACCTGACTACTTCTAAGCAAAGGAGATAATGAAATATTATTAGTTAGTGAGTTCAGTCACATGAAGGTAGGTCATGATCCTAATAGTTCTGGGAGAGATGGAAAAGCTTAAGGGTCTTCACTAGGCATTGACCACATCAAGTGCCCATCTAGCACTTAGCAGATTCATGTGAGGTTTCCTTAAGGCGATCACTGTGAATTGAGTTCTTTAAACGGCTCCGGGGCTCAGACCCTGGGATGCAGACATTAAATCAGAGCACAGTCCCACGCATGATCTCTTGGATATAAGGAGAAGATTCTGGAATCAGGAATGAGAAGCTGCACCCCCGTCTCTAAGTTACTCTGCTTCTCTGTGCCTCAGATTCCTGTCCTATAAAGTGTGGGCATTTGGTTTATATGCTCTCTAAACTCTAAAGGCACTCAAAATCTACTGTATAGAGATGAGTATATACCAATTACCTATATTAATATAATAACTATGGACAAACTATACAGTACAATCACATACTAGTAATCTATTGTACAATCTGCTAAAAATTCACAAATATATCTCTCCCCTCACATTGTCCACTAAAGGGCTTGACCATTTTTCTCAAAATTATTTGTATTGCTCTATTTAAGAAGTTATTTCTTAAATAGAAAATTCTATTCAAAGCAGAAAATATGAGCAGACTTGTTTATAGCCCTTAGGCCTTTCCTTTACCAAGAATCTTATCTCCATATGAGGGAAAGCACAGAATAATTTATTTGTTGCTACTCTACAATAATATTTGAATGGCTTTTACTAAGAAGGCCAGATTTTTTAAAACAACAACAGCAGCAGCAACAACAACAACAACAACAACAATAACAAAAAACCCTAAAACAACTAGAAAAACCTCTTGCATGGTAGAATTGGGAACAAGGGAGTGAGAATCTGGATGTCCTAGGGAAAGCATATTCTTAAAACTCTATTATGTGATGAATTTGTCTTTGAGAAAATGGAAGTTATGTCTTCTCTGAGTTATAACAGAGATTATCTTTATGATGACTGGTCTGAGATACTTCTTCCCTTGTATGTACTTTGGAAGGAGGTGAAGGAAGGAAGTGGAGGGGACAGAAGGGAGGGAGGGCAGAATGGAAGGAGAGAGGGAGGGAAGGAAGAAGTAAGTTTAGTTCTCCTAGGGCTGGGTCCGGCTAAGCAGTGACCTTGATTTCTCCTCTGGCCTAACACCAGAGAACCTCACCTGCACAATTCATGCTTTGGGCACTGAGGATTTGGCAGTGAATAAAATAGACACAAAATCATGCTTTTATGGAGCACACATTCTTAGTCTTTAATAAGTAAGCCAGAGTGTCAATTTGGGTGAATTTTCTTCCCGATGTTGTACCGTAGTGCATTTTCCTAGTAGCAAATATTTTAAAATTGTTCTCCTCTTCTAAAAATATACATGATGTAAATCATTTAATAGAGCAGAAAAAAAAAGTTTTGTAATTTAATAAATGAAATGTTTATTGTATTATGATTTTTCACGAGAGTTACTTTATTTTCTTTCTATCAGTAAAAGGGTACAGTGGGCTTACATTTGAATTTTGTGTTTTTTTAAATTCGATATCAAATCTTATCAATAGTACATATTGTGTAATCCTTGTAATAGTTTCTGATTGTATTCATTGAACTGAAATGTTTTTTTTTTTTTTCCACAAAAGTAGTTAGGTATAATATTCCTAAGATTATAAAAGAAAAGTCTGTTAGCTGGAAGTTAGTTTTATGTGATATAAATGCTTCCCTCTCTAGAAGTACTGAATGAATGTTGCTTTCACTTTCAGAGCTCACTAGATGTTGGCTATGATCACTTCTTCTCTTCAAATCTCCGTGGCAATTTTTGCCCTAATCATCCTGCACATTAGTGCCTTGGATGCTTTTACAGTCGTGGTATATGAACATGCTGTTATATTGCCAAATAAGACAGAAACGCTTGTTTCCCAGGACAATGCCTTGTTCCTTATGAACGAGAATATAGGTTTCTAGACAGAGCAATTAAGCACTCAGCTAAGCAGGTAGGGAGAGCGAGTAGGAGAATGGAGTGTTGAACTATGTGACATATGAAGAAATAATTTTGATTTCGCTTATTTTAAGCAGAATGCTCAAATGACTGTGACTCCAGAAGATGCGCTTTATGGATGGAAATGTTCCAGGGAAACCATTTCTCTTTATCTGAAGGATATCCCGGCCCCTCAGGTGAATTGGATTACATGTCAAAACACCCAGAGGTATATATTTCTTAAACTTAAAAAAAAAAGTTTATTTATTTATTTTGAGAGAGAGAGAGAGAGAGAGAGAGAGAGAGCATGAGCACGTGTGCATGGGAACAGCGGAGGGGCAGAGAGAGAGGGAGAGGGAATCCCAAGCAGGCTCCATGCAGTCAGCACAAAGCCCACCGCAGCACTTAATCCCACCCACTGTGAGATCATGACCTGAGCCAAGATCGAAAGTTGGACGCTTAACCAACTGAGCCACCGAGGTGCCCAGGAAGATATTTTAAATATCCTCATTGTGCAAAAATGCTGCAATTCTCTAAAATGCACATGTTCACCACAGCGACATGATAAATCCTGAATTATCACAGATGTGGCATACAATATTGTTACTTTCATCTTGGCATTTGCTTAAAAAATGTGTGCTTAGATACCATTTAATACTCATTTATAAATGGATAGCTTTATTAAATTTGGAGAAAATATGTAAGCAAGATATTTATTGCTAGGATTAGAAGCTAAGGGGAAGAGAATCTCATGGAGTCAAGTAATAAATTCATTTCTGAAGTAGACAGTGGGTTGTATTTGGGAAGTAGCCCAAGGTCTCCATTGAAAGTACCATACATCGGGGGCATCTGGGTGGCTCAGTTGGTTAAGCGTCCCACTTCGGCTCAGGTCATGATCTCATGGTTTGAGCTCGGGGCTGAGAGTTCAGGTCCTGGAGGCTGCTTCAGTTTCTGTGTCTCCCTCTCTCTGCCTCTCTCTCTCTCTCTCTCTCTCAAAAAATGAATAAACATTAAAAAAGAAATTACGAAACTTCAATCTTATGGAGTCTTTCTGTTCCAGAATCTACTTCTCAGGCAGAAAGAGCTTACTATGTACATTCTCGTGAATCATAAGACCTTATGCTTTGAAACTCAGTGTTTTCCTAGGCTCATAAGGCTAATTTTCTTGAGGAAAAATAATCTAGAGACTTTCTAATATAAAATATTTAATATATATAAGTGCATATTTAATGTATAAATCTTACTGTCTAATAAGGCTTGAAAATTAAATTACTGAGGTACAGATCACACATTTCTATTTTGGCACCTCTCTCTCTCCTGTCAAATCCTCTCTCTTACTCTCTCATACTTTCTCTCCCTCTTTTACCTCAGATTAAGTTTATTAAACATTTATCCGCCATTTTTTTGGTTTTACTAGAGGATTATGAATACCATACTTTTTTTTAGGATGCCTGGCTCTTCTGACATTTATATAAGGGTTACCAGAAAACAGCTTTTCTTAGCTCTAAAGAGACACAAAGAAGAAAATATTGGGTGACATGATAAAAGACAGTTAATCTCTCCATCCTTCTTGTCCTGAGTTGATGCTGTCTATGGTGTTTGTAAATTTTCTTTTGTTCCAGAAAAGAGGTCAATAGCTAGACAGTCTTTCTGTATAGAAGTTTTGAAAATTGGGACAACTCATTTGTTTTTCAACTCGCAGTAGGGTTAAGTTCTGGGTTTCCTGTTAATAACAACATACGTTGGGGGTGCCTGGGTGGCTCAGTTGGTTAAAGCATCCCACTTCGGCTCAGGTCATGATTTCATGGTTCCTGGGTTCAAGCCCCATATGGGGCTCTGTGCTTGTGGTAGGGTCCCCTCCCTAAGGAAAGAAAAAAAAAAACCTCAAGGCAACCTGGCTATCCTCATACATAACATTCCTCACAACCTTGTAACAAGACCTGATCAAACTGCACGTTTGTGTGTTACCATATATGGGAGACAGAGTAGCAAAAAATATATAGAAAACTATGCCATGTGTCATTCAGGGCTCAGTTCCTCCGTGGGAACCCCACTGAGTCATGCGGGGGGGGTGGGGTGGGGAAGATAAGTTGCTTCCTGGAAAGAAAAGCCTCCGTGTTGCATGTCACGACTCCCTGAGAGTATCCTGCTACATGCTGACAGCTCAGAGCTTTGATCCTGCTTCAGATTCTTTGTCTCCCTCTCTCTCTGCCCCTCCCCACTCGTGCTTTGTCTCTCTCTGTCTCTCAAGAATAAATAAATGTTAGGGGCGCCTGGGTGGCTCAGTCGGTTAAGCGTCCGACTTCAGCCAGGTCACGATCTCGCATGGTCGTGGTTACGAGGCCAGCTCCGAGTCTCTGGCCTGATGGCTCTAGAGCCTGGAGCCTGTTCCATTCTGTGTCTCCTCTCTGCTCGCCTCCCGTTCATACTCTGTCTCTCGCCAAAATAAATAAAAACGTTGAAAAAAATTAAAAAAAAAAGAATAAATAAATGTTAAAAAAAATTGAAAACAACAACAACAACTACATGTATTGGGGCATCTGGATGGCTCAGTCAGTTAAGTGTCTGACTTCAGCTCTGGTCACAATTTCGTGTTATGAGTTCAGCCCTGTATAGGAACTCTCAGCTGACAGCTCAGAGCCTGGAGCCCGCGTCAGATTCTCTCTGCCCCTCCCCTGCTTGTGCTCTGTCTCTCTCCCTCTCAAAAATAAATAAACATAAAAAAAAATTAAAAACAACAACACATGTTGTAAAGTTATGGACTAGTCAAAGATCACAATAGCTATGGAAACTAGTGAAGTTTGGGGGAAAGGATGTTGCCTATGGTTAGAGCTCTGTCACAGCCCTATAGTAGAAGGAATGAATTTTGACAGAAAATGGGTTTGCATCATCATCCAGGATAGTCACATTGAATTCACTTAATTTTCACTCATTCAGCCATTATTTATCGAGCATCTGTGATGTGCCAGATATTATTCTAGAAATAGGAGATACAGCGCTTAGTAAATGAAGGTTATGCCCTCCCCCACCATGACTTATGAATATTTAGTGAGAGAAGGTAGAGGTAAACAGACTCATTATTATTTAGAATGTTGTGTGGTGATCAGAATAGATATATTTTAGATGTCAAGGGGACAGGATTTGTTGCCGGATTTGTTGTGGGGGTATGAGAGAAAGACAAGTGTCAGGAGTGACTCCTATTTTCGGCCTGAGCAAACGGAGACACGGAATTGCCATTTACAGATATACAGAGCACTGAAGGAACAGCAAGTCTGGGATGCCAATTAGGAAGCCAATTTTGTGCACCTTACGTGTAAGCTGCCCTTTCAACATCCAGGCGGAGATGTAAGCCTGCCAGTTGCATATACAAGTCTGGCATGGAAGGACAAAGTCAGGACTGAGATAGAAAACCCAGGGTCAGCACACAGATGATTTTTAGCACCATGATGGTTCACCTATGGAGTGAGTTACAGAAGAGAAGAGACCTAAGGCTTGAGATCCAGGAAACTCCGATGTTTAGACTCAGAAGGGGTGAGGAAGAACCAGCAAAGGAGTATGAGAAGAGCAGCCATTGAGCAGGAGAAGGAGAGAGCGGGGTCCAATCAGCAGGGTGAAGTGTTTCTGGGAAGAGGGTGTCATTGACTGTGTCAAGTGTTGCAGACAAGTAGGATGACATCAAGTAAGATGTGGAGGTCACTGCTGGCATTGGTAAGAGTTGTCAGGTGGGATGATAGAAACGGAAGCTCATTTGAATGCCTCAAGAAAGAATGAGAGAGAACAAGCTGGAAACAGCCAGATGGACAACTCTTTCTATGAGCTTTGCTAGAAGAGGGAGCTGAGCAATGGAACAGTATTTAGAGGGACATATGGATTCAGGAGAGGTTTTTAATTATTATTATTTTTTTTAAGTACTAGAGAACATTTGCATGCCGGTGGAATGATCCAGTAGAGAGGAGACAGCCAATGACCCAGGAGAGTGAATAAGGAATTGCCAGAGCAGTAGCTCCGATGTGAAAAAAAAAATCATGAAGTTTAACTTATGGCTTTTAATGATGATCTTTTTCATGAATAGTTTTTACATTGGCTTGTAAATTGACTCACACTTAGATTCTCACTACTGTTTGTTTCTTGATGAACTGAATAAAATACTCTTTTAGGTTATGTTGTTAACTCTAATCACTATGCAGTGCGTTGAATCTCCAGGACATATTTATCTGCTAGCTGCAACTCTGCACCCTTAAATGATATCCCCAATTCCTCCTTCCCCCAAGCCCCCGGTAATCACCATTCTTATTCTTCTTTTATGAGTTCAGCTTTTCTAGATTCCACATATAAGTGCTATCATACAGTATTTATCTGTCTCTGTCTAACTTATTGAAATGTTTCAATTAAAATTTCATTTAGATTTGGTCACACACCAGTACAAGCAAGACTCATCGACCTGGCCAAGAACAATTCTATGTCTTGGCAAATATTGGGAACAAAAAGTCATGTAGTTCCCATGACTCCACATGTCCTCCTGAGGGGGGACCTGGTGGCACATTACCATAAGTAATAGGGTGGGGATATGTAAAATGGAGCCCTGCTGTGCGAGTGGTCAATGCTGTGTTTGAGTTTGATCTTGGGGCACCTGGGTGACTCAGTCGGTTAAGCATCTGACTTCGACTCAGGTCATGATCTTAGGGTTCTTGAGTTCGAACCCTGCATGGGGCGTTGTGCTGACAGCTCAGAGCCTGGAGCCTGCTTTGGATTCTATGTCTCCCTCTCTCTCTGCCCCTCCCCTGCTCATCCTCAATCTCCCTCTCAAAAATAAATAAACATTAAAAAAAGTTTGATCTTCATTACCTCTATAATACGACAATGCTAGAGATTTTTTTTTAAGTGAGCAATTAAAGAAAATAGCATTTTAGAAAAAAAGTGCTCTGGAACAAAATGTAGGCAAAGATCTATTAGAAAGGTGTAATATTCCAGGATTGAGATTTTTTGGCATATAAGAAAACAAATCATTTTAATATTGATACAAAAGACAGTAAGTTGACTATAATCTGGATACAACTTAATATCAAAAGGATACAAAGATGTTTCCAAACTGTATGAATCAGTTTCATAGAAGTTAAATTCCTTATTATCTTTCAGATCACAAAAATCATCTTTCTCTTTATTTTCTATACCAGTTCATTTAATTACCCTTTTACAGGTTTAAGGTCAAATCCTAAAATTTCTACTTTAAAGTCTGCGTTTCAAGACTAAAATAACCTTATGCCATAATTTTATACTAAATGGGGGTAGGGAAGTATACTAAATTTTATACTTCAGTGGCGATGTGATATACATATCAGTGTGAACGGCCTTCTTCCTCCCTATATTTTTTCTAAGCATCTTAAATTGTAGCCTCAGAATCTTTTGAGTAGAGAAATTGTCTCCTGGAAGTTCCAGTTAAAATGTAGATATCAGCCAAAAGGAATGCTATTGAGCCAATGATTTTCAAATGTTTTGATCATATATCCCTACTGGAAAAAAAATTTTAATGAGTCCTCGGTATGTATATATTTATTTATTTTTGCATTTATACGTGAAACACAAAACTTCCAAAACCTTTCCTCATAGCTTTGTGGGTTTTGACAATTTCTTTTCATATGCAAGTAAACTTTCATATTCTCCTCAAAAATGTGTCTCATACCAGGAATAGAAATGTCACCTGTTCTTTTTTTTTTTTTTTTTTTTTTTTTTTTTTTTTTTTTTTTTTTTTTTTTTTTTTTTGAGACTGTTCGCATTATTAGTATCATTTTTTAACGCACTTTCTTTGCAAGAATCATTTTAGGCTATTATTCTATTCTGTAAATGTTGATTTAGTTAAAATGGTAGCCTAGTTGGTTAAGCCACTTAACCAGGCCCATGTAAACTGCAGGATGACACAGTGCAGTGAACGTGGACGAGCTAGTGAGGAATCTGCAGTCATCCTGTGTAAATTAAGGATCGTTCTCCCCTCTGGGTACCGTGGAGACCATTTGTGACCCATGACCTCTGACACATGGACCTATTAAGAGTACCTTTGTCCATCAATTCTTAAAATGCTAGTAAATTTCACTTTCTTTTTATATTTTTTTTATATAGAAAATAAATGTAGGGAGACATTTTAATAGTCTCATTCCTAACCTTTGGCATTCCCTATGTTGCAGACCATTTTATTAAACTGTTGACCCTGACTACTGTGTTAAACTAGGCTAGTTTTTAAAGGTTACCTGGAAGGAATCAAAGAGAGTTGAATAAAATGTTTAGTTTCAACAGCAATTTTGAAAGCTGGATAAGAGTCTCTAAAATTACTTTGGATGGAACATATGGTAAAGAGGGAGGTGTTATCCCTCATCTGATTAGCAGATACTTACTGTTCAGGACAATAACATGCACTATTCTTCTTTGAATCCCTGATACCTGGAAACATAAAAGAGGTTCTTCAGGTTTCAAGAAACTCATAATCTTCAGGATTCATAGGAAGGTGTTTGTCTCCTAACTGGGAGGAAGGAGTAAGGATAAGGTGGGGGGCATGGGACAGAAACAGAGACAGAAAGAGAGAAACTGCATTTTCCCCTGTATTCCTTGGAAATTTACTTCCAATCACCAGATTCATACACTTCCTATAGGGTACCTACCATTGACTATAGCCAAACTTATTACTAACTTTGGAGGGTTTCTGTGAATTATGTCTTCAAGAAACAAGGTTTTTCTGACTTTGTCCTTTACCTTTGTAACAGTACCACCTCTTTTCTGAGCCTGTGTGATGCCCCTAAAATGTCAGAGATAGTGACTTTCAACACCATCTTTGAAGGGTGGTATTTTCATATGCTTTAATATAGTTTTCCGTGATTCTGCTGCGACCCTGGTGGAAGATTTTCATGTGGATACCATACTGTTTCCCATAGTTTGGATGAATGTCTTGTCCCATTGGACAGCTATTGAATTCCATGTGGCTTAGGCTGTGGGAATGGGGATTCATTTTCTTGTGACCAACACAAGTCATGTCAGCCTACCTTCCAGAAACTACCAAATACAAAGATTTTTATATTTGGTTTAATTATTCATAATGGTAACAAATAATTCCATTATATTCAAAGTTCACTTGAAATGAGACCTTTGTAATTTTCTCCAATAGAGCATAGGGAAAGTGCTTGAGTATTCAGCACTAGAAGCCTGTGTGCTATCTCAATGCAACTAATATGGTGACATGATCACATGCTCAGTTCTGATGGGGAATCTGGCAACGTTGGTTTCATTTTTGTTTTTAGAAGATTTCTATTCACAGTCGGTGGTATCTATGCACCATCCTCTCCCAAAGTTTACCATTATGATATGGGAGCAGAGTTGGGAAAGATCTTCCTTTTGGAAGCCATAGATTTTTTTTTTTAATTTTTTAATGTTTATTTATTCTTGGGAGAGAGAGAGAGCATCTCGGCCCAGCAGGAGGTCAGAGAGGGAGACCATGATCTGGAGGCTCCAGGCTCCTGAGGCTGTCGCCTAGAACCGCGGCATTGGCTCAAACTCTACAAAGCCAGTGAGACCATGCGAGGCTGAGCTGCCGGACTAATGACGCCACCCAGAGCCCTGAGACACACATTCTCATAAAAAAAAAAAACAAGCATGGCCTGGATTATTTAAGAACGTATTACGACAATGTGACACACAGAGGTGTATAAAGGATTGCATAGCAATCACCTGTGGATCTGCTGTTCAGTTTGTGTCATGAAGAAGGCACCCCTTGTATTCCCTTCCAATCACATTCTGGTCCTTTCTTGGGAAATAACTACCTTAAGATTTTTCTAGATCATTCCCAGGACATCCTGGTTGTTTATTACACACGTACTTATTCCTACTTGGTACTTTTTGTATCTTTTTGAACTTTGTACATATGCAGATTTATTGCATGCAAATATATTGCGTATTTCTGATTTCTATATAAGAAAGTGTGAGCTTAATCCATGTAAATAAGCATCAGTCTAATTTCACCCATTTTCACTGCTGTATGGTGTACAGTTATATGAATGAGTTCGTTATTGAGCTGTTGTCTTTCAGCTCCAAACCTACCCTTCAGTATTCTTCTTTGTGATGCTGGGCTAGGACTAGGCAAGTTATGTTTCTCCTTGGCCGCCTGGCTCTCTATTAGATTCTGCCCAGAGGGGGCGCTAAAGGAATACGGAAGGTTGGAGGAGGGGCGATGGGACCTCCTTCTGTTTGCTCACCAATCAGTGTTGTCCCATCCGCCAGGCAGCAGACCAGTAGTTTGTTCCGATAGCAGGTGCTTCCAGTTTTCAATTCGTTCCCATTCTTTCAGAACCAGTGTCATTGCCTTTCTTCCAAACTACCAGCACCAGCCATTGTCCCCTCAAGAGAGGTGAGTTCTAGCTCCCTGGGGACAGTCCTCTCAGGATCTGTTCCTCTGCTCCAGCTAGACAGCACACTCTTCTCAGGGGTTGGAGTCTCGGCGACACAGGCTCCTCTGGAAAGCTTCTCGCCCCTAGCACCTTCTCTTCCCTCTGTCCCCCCAACACCAGGAGTGGTAGCTGCTTTTTGCAGTTGCTTTGTTACCTAGGTGTTCCTTTCATGTGCTTCAATCATCAAATACCTCTTTAACCGAATCCTTATGTTCTCTGAAAATAACTGGTGTGGATTCTGTTTCCCTAGTTGCACCTTGTCTGGTGCCTGGATGAAAACAATCTTCATGTGTCCTTTCTCTTATTGATAAATAGGGCAAGCACGGCCCGGCTGACTGCACTAACATCTTGGGTAAACTCCATGATGTAGCAACAAACAAAATGTGCAGAAGTGGGGCAGTGGTGGTTCCACTCATGCTGTCAGGACCGCTCCCCCAGCCACCAGTAAAAAAGCAATAGGCCCATTGTCTGGCTTCCTCTGATCTGCTGTGTTCTTCACTTCACAAGGTCTGTGGAAGCCATGAACTTTGGGTGCACATCTGTGAGAACACAGGCTTTGCGGCCACATGCAAGCAAGTGATTATGTGATTTCTTAGTAACAAGCTGAACCAAGAAGCAACCTTAGCTCACTCTGAGTCATCATTTTTCAATAGTCTTTGTCCCTGAACTTGTTTCTGTGGTTTAGCTTGTTCAACAGATGCTTCGGTTTTCGAATTTTTTAAATTTATTTATTATAGTTACCACTATTAATTCCTATTTTAAGTAGTTTCTCTGAACATCCTTGTATGTGTCTCTTTGATCTTAAGTCAAAGAGCTTTTTGGATGCTTACTATCTGTCAGGGAGGCCTTGTGCTGGATGGTGATAATGAATAGAACAAAAGTTCTTTTCTTAAGGATCACAGTCGGGAAGAGGAAACAGAACATCACTATCATTACTGTCTTTCTTTAGCAGAGTAATAATCAAATTTGAACACTTAGAAAATGCTTCACACTGGGCTAAAGCGTTTTCAAGCATCTCGTTTCATGCTATAATAAAAGCCATAGAATATGATAATGCTGTGACCAATATCAGGGCCAGGAAGGAGTCCATTTTACCTTGGAAGACAAGAAAGGTGACTGAGACCA